CCCCAAAACCCCAAAACCCCAAAACCCCATGCTTCTCTATTAATAAAGCAATTAAAAGTAAATAATCACAAGTTATAATCTTTCATAAGAAGTTTAGACTGTGTTTTAGAAACTTCATTGAAAATGTCCTCAGTCGTTTTGATTAAGCTTTTATTAAGACTTGCAAATACTGGTTTAATCACGGATTCACAAGTATTCTACTTTTCATCATCAAATTCCATTGACATGCAAATATTATCCTAGATATAGTAAATTAATCTATTGTACTTACATCCATATCCCAAAAATCAATAGATGGTTCAATATTGTTCAAGCAATATTGTTTAGGAATTTACTATTAAACTTAGTAGTTTGAACAGTTTTAGAATATATTCATCTCAATGGTTGTCATAAATTCAGATAACCTAGAATTTTAGTTAAATCGTAATAATTACAAAAGCTGATTCACCTTGGTTATATAATATTCAAAAGATATAGTATGCTGATTATTCGCATTATTCAATAAAAACTGATCTTCATCCTCGCCTTACAAATTGGACTATTACATTTCACTAAACAAACTGAATAGATTATTGCATAGAGGGCCAATGGGAATATCGGTAGAGGGGATAAGAGGATCGATCCACACATTAGAACTTTCAAATTCAATATACATGTCCATACACTAATTAGTGAATTTAGTTTGATTACCCAAAGGTAATTTTGATAGTTCAGTAATCAGCCTCGTCTTTTCCATTGACACTGCACTTAGTTTGCTGCAATAGCTTATTGCAAAGCTTTGTAAATTGCTCTTTGTTAGCTTTAATTGACTAAGATAGAAATAACTGAATATGCTTGAAAAAGTGCAGACATAGGGCTTATATTAATCTATAGAAGGATATTGAAATAATGTAAACTTACTCTTCACATTTTGAATTGTAATTGGACAAAGTTGCGTTGCTAATGAGTTAATAACTTGGTAGCCAGTTTTATTTTGATCAGGATTCAAGTATTCAACGAATTTATCGTAACAATTCTGCTGTCTGAAGAGACTATTCTGTGACATAGAATCTTCTAATGATTGCTTCAAATTGCTTGCCAACTTTAATTACTGAGTCTAAGTCACAATGATAGCTAATAGTATTAAGATCTAGTAACAATTTTTAAGAATCTAAGCCAATATTTACCGAAAATACTATTTTTGGAATATGCAATCTAAACTTCATTTATGTAATTAATTATTACTGATATAATTTAAAATCAATAATTCAAACTCATAGTGGTTTTTTAATAATAGGGTCTTAGTGAGATTATCTCATATCTGGCTTTTTAGCAGAGCCCTTATCTCCTCTCATGTTTAACTTTTCAAACACCTTGTTAGCATCAAAATCTCTGCTAGTCTAATGTTTGAAACTGAATTCTTTGACAGCAGATCTTACAGTATTTGATCCCCTTGCTGTATCATTATCACCTTAGCCCAGCTCATTCTCAAAGTTAGACGAAGCTGTGTAGGAAACTCCACCAAAAGTTTGTTAAAGTTGGAAAATTTTGTTTCTTCTGGTTTGTTATTACTCCTCGTCAATTCTAGGGGATGATTGGTTTGGAGGATCCTGTACAATTTCTCTTTGAGACTCATTATTGCTTCCCCCGTACTAACTTGATCTGTTGAATTCGATTTACAAGATCTAGGGTTCATTATTAATACTAATTTTTTTCCTATTTTCACTAGCTTAGTTGATAACTTGAGTCTCCCTTATCGAACTCTAACTCTCACTAATATACTAATTCATACCAATGTGATTTTCATAACCTTAAACTTTGCTTTGCAAGTTAAATATTTACTCTTATTGCTCAAGGGTTTTCTAGAACTGCTCTCTATTGTCCCTCCTCAAATTATCTAAGGTTTTAGTTAATGTTATAATCTGAATGTTCTATGTTTCAAGGAGTTTCATAATATCATCAGTATTAAAGCCAGGTTTTCTTTCCTCTTTAATTGGCTCTTAATCTATTGATAGAGATTAGGCTGAGAGTCTTCTATTGTTTTCATCGACTTTCTCAGCAAGCTAAATATTATCAGATTCAAGTTCTTAATTTTTCTTAGTTAATAATTCCACTCTGCCCTCAGCTAAAGCAAGTTTTTAAGCGCATATTGACAGATCGCAATTTAGAGTTTCAAAATCCTCTATAAACTGTCCGAGAGACTCTTCTAGTTCTCTTACTCTATTTTCAGCTTTAACCATTCGATCTTCAGTATCTTTAAAAATATCATTCCTTCTCATCATCACCCAGTTTTAATTTGCCTTATTCTCTAATTGCTTGTTGATGTTTCTGATTGACTGCATTCTTTCCTTTAGCTAATCATTCGCTTCTTTCCACTTCTTATTTTCCTTCATAATTTCATCTACTTGATTCTATAGCTAAGCCGCTCTTCTCTGAGCCTAAGTCCTTTCATCTATAAGAATTTTCATCTCCTCTTTTACAGTGAAAATCTCCAAATTGAGTTTGATGTTCTTATCTTCCACCTCATTGGTATAAGGCTCATGCATTTTTTACTGCTCTTAAATGGCTTAGAAATGCTCACTTAATACTTTGTTATCAGCCATGATTTCCTTCAAGTCCTCCTTAAGCTTTTAATTTTCATTAACTATTTGGTGAAAAGCACTTTAGAGCTCATCTACTCTGTCCTCAAGCCTTCTTTTAAGCTTTCTTTCTAACTCTAACTCCTTTAACTTGTCTCTGTATTGAGTTTCATAAAAAATTAAGGACTAGTTGTATGTAGCTGTATTCTGATTAAAATTTGCAGTTGTTGTTGGAGGAGCACTTCTTTGCTGATTTAATTATGGGCTATTATTTTGATTCATTGTTTCACCCCCGAAAGAGCTCTGATGAGTCATCTATGTTTAGGGCCCAATTGAATTATTATTCTAAATGATCTAACTATTCATATTAGTTTTTCTGCTTGTCTATGCGCCCAACATTAAATCAGTTTTACTTCTCTTCTGATGATTCGGAGTGCTTACCTCATTGCTATTATTATTTGGCCCAATTGAAGAGATGTTTTTCATATTCTGTAGTCTTGCAGATTATACTGAGTAATGAGATTATTGAGTCATATAAGGGTTGCTGCTTAAATTTTATTGAGTGTTATTTCTAGCTGTATTATTTAACTCAGACTATCTGTTTTTCGATTTCACACTTTAATGATCATTTGAGTCAATTGTGACTGTTTTAATTGCTGACTGTATCATATGACCCGCAGAGTTATTATCATGAGAAGTATCTTAGATATTAAGATGAAAATTTCTGCTATTTTTATTTTTATAGTCTAGTGTATTCATTTAAGCATTCTAATTGGAAAATCCATCCTTTTCTAGCAGATTATTCTTTTTTATGATTTTATAATCACTATTCCTTGCTGATTAGGGAATATAATTGTTTCTAAAGTATTCCAATGCCTGCTTCTTTTGTAACAAATAATTATTATTGAGCAATTACAGCTTTTAGTTTTCCTCCTGTTATAGCATGACTTTAACCTAGTTAGGAGTATACATGCCTTTTACTCCATTGTTTTCAGCCTTTGATTAATTGTTTTCCCTAATGAGCTCTGAGGGTGCTTTAGTAATGCTCAACCTCTCTTGTGAAAGCTAAGAGTTAAAACTTTAAGATGATGTTTTATTTTGCCTCTCATTCTTGGTTGTTTATGGTCTGCTCTAAACAGAAACTTGCTGTTGTGAACTATTCTCTGATGCTTGTAGATTTATAGTAATAGCATTTTTCTTTGGGTAAAACTACTGGACATATAAAGGTTATTGTATTATACCTTATTCGTCTATGATAGTGAACTTTTGTGATTAGGGTACAATTGATCTTGTTCCATTAAATAAAGGCTTTTAGTTCTTCTGAAATATAAATAATTTGATAATAATGCGATAATTCCCGTATATTTCTGACAGCAAACTAATAACCAGAACAAACACCATTTGAGCTGGGGTTTTGGGGTTTTGGGGTTTTGGGG